CGTGATCCTGTTATAACAATGTGCTTTTGTCTCTGATAAAGGAGTTTCTGCTTTGCTCTGTTGTTTGTCTCTGCTAATCCACAGGTAAACTCGGCCTACTTTTCAGAGCCTTTTTCAGAAGACACACCAGCAAACCAAATCTGTGCAGGCCATGTGAGTTTGATTGGAATACGTAGAAACTGACATAATTACAAATATAGTGCACAACACAAGCTGCAGGTTCATTGCACTCTTCATTAGATAACTGCTTTAGGGCTGCATCTAATGATTATTTGTATAATCGATTCACCTGCTGATTATTTTCTTGATTCATTGTTCGGTCCATGCAATGTCAGAAAACTGAAAACTTACAAGTGTCCAGAGCCGAGGTTGACGAAACAACCACCCAAAACCCCCAAATATTCCACTTCCTATCAAAGAAAAAGCAACGACTCCTCACAGTAGAGAGGCTGTAACAAAGGAATTGTTGTCCCTTTGGCTTGAAAAATCCACACGGTTGCAGATAAAATGATCTGATGATTAGCTAATCGATGAATTGACTAATTGTTTTGGCTCTACTTCTGTTTTAAATGTGAAATTTCATCATCAGTCAGAAATAATTTATTAGCAACGGTGAAATGTTGTAGGTCAGCAGTTAGTGTCAGCTGCTCCTCAACTGCTCATAGTGGGGTCTGTTTTCTGACATGTCCTCCGCTGGGAGATATCGTGTTAGTACTTTCTAGCCAAGGTCTAAAAACCATATCGTTTCTCTCTTTCTCTCTTCCATTCGTCCACGTCGTTTGTGGTTACTATGATGTCTGTAGGTGTAGCCTAGCTGTTGAAAGAAGATACATTGTGATAACGGGATTTAATATGATAGGTTTGATAAAGCTATACAAAACAATGCCTTCTTCCTTTTTTTAGATCATGATTTAAATTTCAAGCTCATTTTTGGAACATTTTAAAGGCTTCTGGTAATTTCATAGTGTGTTTAAAGGGAAAATGAAGAACAGATGTATCTGTTTTTTTTTTCCTGTTGTGTTTGCCTGCTCTTTTGCCTCTTATTCAGCTTTTGATGTTAAATCCATGTTGCAGTAGTGATGAGTCAACAGCTGAAAAGCCTGTCTGTGTATTCAGGGCAAAGTTGTGCTGTAAATTCAATTTGGCCCTCATTCAAAAATCAAAATTGTTTTAAGCATTCAAAACCTATATTACAACCAATCAAAAACTTTCAGACAATTAAGAAAATAAACAAAATAAATACATGCAAAAATACTTTTATTTCTAATTACCCTAGCTGGTTAATACTATAATTTTCATATGTAGTGTTTCAATAAAAAACAATGTGGTTTCCTGTCTCTCCAATGAGTAATAGATGGAATGTGGAAGTAAGCTCAGTCTACATGACTATCTAAAAACAAATCAATACACATTCAAAAAAGAAAGCCCTTACATGTACGTGTCTGTCTGTTGGCCGGTCTGTCTGTTTGTATCGATACAAGATAAAGATAAAGGACATGCAAAGATCAGCATTGTGTATTTGAAATCCAAACAACAAAACCGACTAAAATAATCCATTTCAGATGGAACAGTTGAGTCGAATATGAAACAATGTGCTCTCTGTGTTCTAATTGGTGGAACATGGAGCTTAACTCTGTCTACATAACATCTAAAAACGCAGTGAGACACATCAAAAAGGCCATCATCGTTTTCCCGAGGACAGAGGGGAAAAATCACTGAAAGACGAGGAAGAAACAAGCGTAATTAGTTTGACCACCATGTCATTTGAAACGGCATTAGCAATAACAAATCAGAAAACAATAAAAGATTAGAACAAAGATAAATTAAAGGGCCTGTGTTTCATGGTAAAAATGATTGAAAATGAGTTTGAGTGGAGTATGTGTGGTTGTCAATGTGCATGTATTCTTCCGTGTGTGTCTGTTTGTGGGGTATATTTTGGTGGCAGTGACGCTGCAGAGCTTAGCATGTGTATATGGGTACATATATATGTCTGTGTGCATGTGTGTGCACGCGTGCGTGAGCGAAGGAGAGTTAGTGAGTGGGTATTTGTGTGTAATCATGTACGTCAGGCCGTCATGAATGGTGCGTTTGAGACAGAGCGGAGTGTGGAGTTCCTCGGGCTGGACCAAATTGGAAACAGAAAAACAAACATTCCCTAGGAACCCCCGCTCTCCACCTCCCCCCCCCCCATCCCTCGTCTGCTGGCTAGTGGCGCAGTCCAACCTGTCTGGGACAATGTAACGGTCTATAGTCGGACCGGACCACACACGTTCGTGGAGGGGGTCAGAACGCAGGAGGAGGCAGTTGTGGTGGTGGAGTGGGGGGGGGGATCTCAGCCACAATGACAGTTGGAAAAACAGACAGAAGAAGCATATGAAAATGACAGAGAGCTCAGTGATAGATTGATGGGAAAGACAGAGTGATGGAGGGGAGAAAGGGAGGAAAAGTGAGACGGAGAGTTAAAAGTTGATGGACGTGAGATGTGGAAATGGGAGGTTTAAGAGTGAGAAAACGAGATAAGTCATGGCGTAGAAATAAAGAGAAAAATAAGAGGAAAAAGAGAAAAACAGAGGGGCAGGGAAAGACAGTGATTGAGTAAATGAGTAAGCAACAACTGAGTCAGAGTTCCACGGGGAAAATATTTAGAGTCACACTCACTCTTTAAGAAAAAGAAAACTTTTCTCTCCCTTTTCTTTTCCCGTTGTGAGTGCTACTAATGAGTAAGTTGCCCTCCAGTTATTCTTTTGCTTTCTTTCGTTCTTGAAGTAAACGTTCGTACTTTTCTTTCAGCTCTAATAGCTAATGCTATTATGTGGTCAATCATGTAATAACCGGAAGCGTGTGTGTTTGTGTGTGTGTGTGTGTGTGTGTGTGTGTGTGTGTGTGTGTGTGTGTGTGTGTGTGTGTGTTAAATGTAATTTCACAGTTTTACAGCCTGAAGAAAACATCACAATGTATGAGTATGATCTTTTATGTTTGCGTGTGTGTCTGTGTGTTTACATTTAGTCCGCATAGTGTGTAAAGCACCCATTTATATATATATATATATATATATATATATATATATTCAAAGCAGTGAAATATGTTCTCATTGAGGACACTTTAAGGTTACCTGGGGACATGCAGTATGATAAGTTTCATCTCAAACGTCTACCTGAAACATACATCACTTTTTTTCAAAAACATGTTTATATCCTCAATAACATTACTGTTTTAAGATGGGAGGGTCTTTTAAAATGACTCATAATTTCAGTAATGACTCATAATGTACTTTACTTTTCATGCCAGCAATCTTTTCTTTTTTCTTTTCAAGCAGCAGATATCCCTTTTCACATAATGACACACTCCAGCTCTCAAATGGCTGGTGTGTTAATTTTCTATCTTTAGTCCAAACAAAGTTAGAACTGCATGTGGATGTGGTCAGGACCACACTGAACCAGGTAAACCACTGAACAGGTATCCTGCGATATGAAAGCCCTTCCTTTTGCATCCATTCCAGCTCCTTCGCTGCCTCGCTTATTCACTTTGCGTATAAGCTCCAAGGGCACTAACTTTACTTAAAATTAATAGTTCTGTTGTGTCCGAAGAGAGGTGGTTTAATATGCACAGCAGATAAAACAGTGGCTTTATAAGCAGCCAACAAACAAGTTCCAAAATGTGTGAAGAATTCAGACTTGTCTCTTATCCACCATTGATACACGCACGCACACACACACACACACACACACACACACACACACACACACACACACACACACACACACACACACACACTTCTCAGACTGACCCAAGGAAACTGGCTTTGTATAAATACAGACTCAGATTTAGATTTGCGGTGAGAGGGAGAAAGAGGCAAGACGGATGGAAAGAAGAAGAAGGGGTGGCACAGAGAGAAAGAGAGAGAGGAGTGGTACAGACAGAGAGGGTGGGGTGATTTTTGTGGTTGGGGCAACAAAAGGGGGAACTGAAAACTGGAGAGTCTGACATTTAACACTAGAATTACCGAATAAAGAAAATACAATTGTCAGTGGTCACAGCCACTGGAAAGTTACTATGCGTCAATGAATTTATTTATTAATTCCTGGAAATTACTCATTAATGACTGCCTTGTTCTGATTCATAAAGTGATCAATATTGAAATGGAGTGAATAATAATTGTTGAAACACAGAGAAAAAGAGAGAAGGAAGTTGTATGCTGGTGCCAGTGATTTCCACCACAGGCTGTAATTGTTTTCTAATTTGAATTAATTCCGTATGGTATTATTAGTGGCTTTTTTGTCGCCAATTTATTGGCAGCACACTGTACTGTACACTTTTATTTAAAGTATTTTTAGCTGACTGAGTATGTTACCACCAGTGTGTTTGTTTTATAGATAGCTGTCATTAGACTGCACCAACTTGCGTAATGCCCCTCTCCCTTCCACACACATACAGGATAGTGTACAAGCTTGTTGTAAAGACGTTTTTGCTGTGAATTTAACTGTTTTGAGTGTGTCCTTCCTCATTACACGCTTTTTAAAAAGGCAGATGGCACACACATTTTCAATCACATTTTTTTTTTAATTGCACATTTGAAAGAAGAATACAAAGGATTCTTTTATATTTCATTATTTGAGAAAAGCTGGTTGATGCTTTCCCTTGTCACTGGCACACATATTTTGTGACATTTTACAATATCAGTGGCTTAGTTTAATTCCGGGGGCCTTAAAACAATCTTCACTTGTGAAAGGCGTTGTCAGCTGTCAACTATGGTGATAAAACAAAATTGGTACTATTACAGAGTTTGACTGGCTGGGGTCTCGGCACAGCACCAACTTTTTTTTGCTCACTGTGTACCTTTGATCAGCCAGTCAATTTGGATTTCTCCAGTCTGGACAAAATTGTTTCCCGTATATGTAAAATATGGACAAACTTTTGGGAGTCTGGCTCAAATAGGTTCCAGTAAATGTTGCAGAATGTGTGAGTTTCTAATGTTATTTGTCCTTCTGTCCTTTTTCCAGGTTGTTAAAGTGATGGTGGACTGTGACAACCGTGACTGAGGACCTAAACCAGAACCAAAAAAAAAAAAAAAAAAAAAAGACTGGACAGAAACAAGGGCAGCCTGCATAACACTTCTTACGCGGATCTACAACACACTTGATCAAACTCAAAGCCGTATTGCCCAGCTGTTAAGCATAAGGAGAGCAACAGCCCTGGACCAAAGGTAGCTGATGCTACGAGGAGTTTAAGAGCTTCTTAAACAAAAGGTTTTGCTCTGATGTTCACGGACCTGCATGGAGTTACGTGGACCTGATAAAGAAATGGTGGGATACTAGTTTGTGCCTGACACCTGGTTTCTGCTTCCCATTATTGTGTGGAGTACAGAGGGCCAGTAGCCGAACCGTTGGCTACTGCTGGACGGACCGTTGCAGCACTGGGTCGACTCGAGCCGCTTCAACAGAGCTGATGCCAAGGCCAGGAGTCAGCCATGATGTTTTTGTAACCTGATGAACAGCAGAGGTAGGATGCGTTCATTTTAATCCAGTCATTTGTTTTTTCACCATTAATCCCTCAGTAGTATGGTTAATAACTTTAATATCCTTATTAACTAGGATAATATAAACAAAATAATTTGACAAAAGGATATACTTAAAAAATATATGTATTATATGAGTTTAAATTACATGTCATGCTTCAGTAACATTTAGCAATTAGAGTTGGGATCATATCCCTTCTATTGCATTTTTAAAATGTTTGATTATTGATCATATATTGTATTGTGTGATTATTCTTATTTATTATTATGATCTGCTCAAATCGTGAGTAATTATTCTTAATTAATAGATCTATTTTCAGTCTTGTGTTTACCAAATTAGACCTGAATTAGTAATTTTTTATTATATACATAGTATATTATTACATATATTTTAATCAATTTCTATGTGTATCTGAGATAATTTGTATGTCTGTGCGTGCATTATTGTGTGTATGTGTATATGTTTTTTTTAAAATGCATTTTTCTTTAAATTTTAAAAAGAAATTAGTACAAAACTACATGCTTCATTTGAAAGAAAGTTTCAAGCTCGACCTGCTTTTGGTGGTTTAGTAGATTAACGTTAATGCCTTTTGCTAGATTAGGTGCAGGAGTTTACTGAGACTAAATGAGCGCTGATAAAATGGCGTTTATGCTTCTCTGAGAAGTCTCATGAAAAGCTACTTGCTAGCTTAGTCATCAGTGTTGGAGGAAGTGACTGTGTGTGTTGCCTCAGAATGCTACCCATATGTTGTGGTCTTAAGATTTAACTGCTTTACGTGTGAGGGTGGAAAGTGTTTGTATGATTATCCACATTCAGAAAGATTTTGAACGTTATAGAGTGATTGACGAGGGATTACCTGCTCCTCCATCGTGCTTACGTTGCACCCCGGTTCAGTAAACCTTAATAGGAACAGAGCTCATTAGTTCCTTACACTCAGTAAAGTTTAGTGGTAGTAGCGTGGCCAGTTGTTTGAAGGGTAAGATCATATGTACTTGGAGCAAAATATGTAAGTAATCGTTACCAGCCGCGTCTTGTAAACTGAACCTCTCTGACATAACTGTTGATTTTGCTTTGCAAATGCCGCAAACTTGACAGAAGTCAATCTGCTAGATTGGTGATGGTGATAGTGAGCCTGCAATTACAGGATGATGACGTACCAGACGTCTTTGTGCCTGTAAATGCAGAGCTTTATTTATATGAATGCAAATCAATTTTCTTAAAGATGTCTTACGTGTTAGAAATGAGCAGGCCAGTGTTTCTGTTTCTTCATGCATTTAAAAACCCACCTAGTTTATTGTACTACAGGAAATGCAAATACGTATAGTTGAGGTTATTATGTGTGTGCACAAAGCTGCAGTGGTTTGTGGTAAAGGATACATTATAATAATAGCTGTGTGAATATTCTTTAGTTTCTGTTGAAATACTGTACGTGTCGAACTCTTTGCGTATGTGTGTATATGTGTAAAGCAAACAAGATTTTGTGTGTAGTCCTTTTATTGAGTTATGCTGTATATGCAAACATCCTTTATTCTCGCCGTGTGTGTTTGCGAGTGTGAGAGACAGTGCATGAAATTGTATTAATAATGTAGCAGGTTGTTTGTTTGTTTGTGAAAATGTGATGTGTAGCATGATGTACTTTTACCACACTATTTTGCTGGATCAGGAATATTGTAAAACTGTGCATTTAGGGTGCACACACACACACACACACACAGTTTGTTGAGGACTGCTTCAATGTTTTTTCCTCAGTCATCAGACACACACACACACACACACACACACACACACACACAGGCACATATACAACTGCTATGTTATCCTCCTACACCTGTGTCACCACACACGCTGAAGCGCTCTGTCTGTTTCCTTTCTCTTTCCCACATACGCATGCTCTTTTTTTCTTGCTGTCTCAACAATTTTCATTATGAACTGTTTCATAGTGTAAAAAGAAAAAAACTGTCCACAGTGATGTGTCGGTATTATCCAAAATAACTGGGATATTGTTTCTGGAAAGAGCGCATTGAGTTTTTCAAATGTCCCTTTTCAGCGCTTTGAAACAAAATTCCATTCACTCTCATTATATTGGGCTGGTGGCTGATATCTTAGAGCAGAATTTCCCCAAATCTGCTCAAATAAAACTTAATCTATTTGTAAGGCTAAACACTACTATGATTTTGAGTGAACTGAGCCTTTAAGGGCAAAAGCAGGGAGGTTCATTGGCTCACTTTGTCTATTTGTGTGTGTTCGTGCTGTGTATTTTTTATGGATGTCTGTTATTTTAGTGTGTTTGTATAGATAAATGATTAGTGCACGCCAGAGTATATGGTACTGGGTACGTACGTATGAGGCCCACGCACATGAGTGTATGCGTGTTTGTATGTGTGTGTGTTTGTGCATGTTTTTCATTATGTGGTATGGTGGCTTTGCTCGGTGATGTTATTCAGCAGGGCGGATTGCTTTGAGCTGCTTGATGCTTTTAGCTGTGGTCTGTGTGTGTGTGTGTGTGTGTGTGTGTGTGTGTGTGTCCAACTGTGTCTACATATGTGTATGTTTGTATGCCTTCCACTGTGTACGTATATACACATGTGCATGCACGCCAATTGTATGTGTGTGCGTTTGTGTGTGTTGTGGTCTTACGTAGTCTTTGATGTGCTAGTACAAGTCAGATTTGGCCAATCTTTTCAGAGTTTTAGAAAACTGAGGAATGTTGAGTAGAGACAATTCAGTCAGGCCCACAAGCAAGTTTGACTGTTAACACACAAATACACTCATATACACACAAACACACACATTACTAAGATATCCAGGAGTTTATTTCTGTGATGTAGTGCCCCACCAATGAGTTTCGCTCCTCTGAGGCAGTGAATCCCCATGTGTTTTTTCTTCTCGTCTGTCAGTGGATCTCTGCTCTCTTCTTGTGCGTGTCATCCTCTCACTGTCTGACTCTGAGGGTTGCCCTGGCTCTTCCTCACACACGTAAATACCAAAAGTCACGTTAGAACCCGGTTCAGTAGAAAACGTGTGAACGTACATAGGTAAGCTACCTGTTGACCCATTTCCACAAAATGGGTCAACAGGTTGTTCATTGTGTGTCTGATGATCTCATCTTCTCGTAACTTTGCAGCAGGGTGTACCACTTTTAGTTCCCACACACAGACAGACACACACACACACACACACACACACACAGGTTTTTGTGTCAGTGTTTCCTTCTTTAAGTGTGTGTGTGTGTGTGTGTGTGTGTTTGGGACAGCAACAAATACCCATTCATCATTCTGTACAGAGGGCATTAAACCTCTGGCCCTCCTACACGCACACACATGCACACACTCAGCAGGTTTCTCTCCTTGTCCCCCAAATCCCAAACAACAATTAATTCTAATTAATTCCAATTAAGCTGTATTAATTATGCAGACAAAGATTAATAAAGGAGGTGTCACCAGCTGTCATGGCAATTAATGACTTAATTTGTTGGTTTGTTAATGATCGACTTGTTTAAAGGGCACAGAATCAATCAAAGATCAAAGTGACAGATGTGTGTGTGTGTGTGTGTGTCTTATTCTCTACATGGGCTTCTGTGTACAGTGTCTGTTTACGTTCTTTCATTACAGTTAATTGTAACTATTAGTAAATTGAGGCAGCAGACTTTATTGTGCAACCAATATTATCACATTTTTGTTTCCATTGTCTCTAATATATTGATTACATTTGGACTGATCACCAAGGTACATTATATTAGCAACCCGTCTACAGATCTGACATTTGGTTTTTACCACAAACGCAGTTGTAATGCTTTCAAAGGGAGTTATTGAACCACAACAACCATAACACAGTGCATTACCACTATATGGTGCATGGCACAGTGTGTCATATGTTTGTATCGGAGCATAGGAGGCCCAACAACAGCTTTATTTTAGCATGTCTAGTCTTCAGACTTATGCCAAATTAATGATGAATGACTTTACTTTGGTCCACGTTCCTGTGAATCTTGGGCGAAGTCCATGGGGCGATGGTGTTGTGCTGACTGCGCCGACACTCAGCACAGTCAATCCAGCTTTGCTTTTGATTAGCTCGGTGATTAATAATCAGTCAGTGTAACGTTGCAGTAGCTTGTTGCCATTTTTATCCTCCAGCTTATGGTGTGTCTTATAGGATAGATAAGTTAATTAAGTGCTTTGCTGGCATCATGAAATGTCAACAGTAAGGGTCTTTTCAGACGGGGAGCGACTCGCCGCCTGCGTACCCGCTCAGATCCGCGGGATCTCACTGCACTCATCAAGTGACTAGACAGACAAGCGATCCGCGGGCAAACACCGGGTGTACATGTGGAAACCATGGACACATCTGTGCACTATTGACAGTTGGTAGCAATCTTGTTTTTGATGCCAACCAGCCACCATCATTATTGATAGCTAAAGTTAGCTAAATTAGCATAGTCATAACTTTATAGCCTAGCCTAAATTAAAACTGAAGTTTCCTGATACTTGCAGTCTGTGCCAATGCTCTTCCATGCAAAGGCCCTCCCGTTAATGTCCTGATAACTGTTAAAAAACAGCTCAGGAAACTCACAAACAGCATAGATCACTCTCTCATCCATTGTAGTTGTCAGTGGTTGTCAGTAGTTACTGCGCGGCATGTAAGGAAAACATTTCAAGCAAATTCAATTCTGGCAGCATGAGGCCACGACCACGACAGTTTGACAGGATTGCGCCCAGCATATGAAATACACCATACAATTCATTTCCAGACCCATAGTGAATAGATACTTTGATTGTAGTACGTACATTTAATTTAATATTTAGCATTGGGAAGTTGCCTTGACACATGTTCAACTGTGGGAAACGATCAGATGTTAAGGTTGAGCGCTGCGTATCTTTCGTTGCTGCTATTACAGCAGCAGGAACGTCAAAGAATCGTGGGTTTTCACTTAAACGCCTCTGAAATTCTCTTCTCCCATCCACCTGTTAATGCACTTTGTCTATG